CCAAAATCACTGAACCAGTGCAAACGGGCGATGCCAAAATGGAGGGGAAGAAGAGGCGAAGTGTTAGGGGTATAACAGTAATTTCAAGAAAAAACAAGGGCATAAATGGTAAACATCCAAAACCAAATTTCTATTTCGTTCTGCTGATTGCAAGAAGCAGCAGATAAGGTTTCTCCGCTTCGACTTCTTCAAGTTCGAAATTTCAGAATAGGATGGTGTGGACAAACTCCATTGTCGAAGCGGCTTCTGATTGAAACTGCCAGTTAACTCAGAGATTAAAGGTAACGCTTCTATTCTCTCTTCATCCTTCAAGTGCAAATTAGAGAATTTAGTCTGCCTTTGAATTGTTTAATACAGTGCTGCATGTTACTTGAATCTGAGAATTTTAGGTTTTTTGAAATGAAAACTGAAGGTTATAGAGACAATATGGAAATGGGTACAAGTCAGAATGTTGGAAGCATAATGTGGTTTTTCAGAGACAAAGGTTTTGATGATAAGATTATTTATGATATGATGAAAAGGTGCAAGCGATTAGAAGGTGTTGAACGAGAAAGAGCCTCTGAAAACTGGGCTTACCTGAAAAGCATTGGAATTCAAGAAAGAAAGCTTCCTTGTGTGATTTCCAAGTGCCCTAAAATCCTTACTTTGGGTTTGAATGAGAAGCTAATCCCCATGGTTGAATGCCTTAAAACATTAGGAACAAAACCCAGAGAAGTTGCTTCTGCCATTGTCAGATTCCCTCACATACTCTCCCACAGTGTAGAAGAAAAGCTTTGTCCTCTTTTAGCTTTCTTCCAAGCATTAGGGATTGCTGAAAACCAACTTGGGAAAATCATATTACTCAACCCAAGACTCATCAGCTACAGCATTGAATCTAAACTCACCCAAGTTGTTAACTTTCTTGCTGATCTTGGCCTCACTAAACAAGGGATGATTGCTAGAGTTTTGATCAAACACCCGTTTATAATGGGTTATAGTGTTGATAAAAGATTATCTCCCACTACCCACTTCCTCAAATCGATTGGCCTCACTGATTTCGATCTTCAATCTGTTGCAATCAATTTTCCTCAGGTGTTATGCAGAGATGTGAACAAGATTTTGAGACCCAATTTTACTTATCTAAACACGTGTGGTTTTAGCAGTGCACAGATTGTAGCTATGATCACAGGGTATCCCCCAATTTTGATCAAGAGCACTAAGAATTCATTACGGCCTAGGATCAAGTTTTTGGTAGAGGTGATGAGAAGACAATTAGATGAAGCTGCGGATTACCCTGACTTCTTTCGACATGGTCTGAAGAAGACGGTGGAATCACGCCACAAAATGCTCAAAGAAAGAAATATAGATTGTAGTTTGAGTGAAATGCTTGACTGTAATCCAAAGAAGTTCTTCTTCAAGTTTGGTTTCTTTGAAAGCTCTTCATGATATATTGTATCTTCTTCTTTCAGTCAATTTGTAAACTCTGTCTTACTTT